TGAAAAAAAAAAAAAAAAGAAAGAAAGAAAAAAAAAATTTTAATTTGCTTTCGATTAGAAATATACACACGGCTGAATTTAACGTAGATCCGGTTCAGATAGTTAGACATGGCCTGTCGCTGTGCACGTGTGCATTTCTATTTACGAATCTCCTCCTCTCCGAGTATAACTTTATATACCGATCTATAAGATATTTAACTCTAATAAATAGGCGACGTTTCTAGATTCTTAAAAAAAACTTAAACTTATTATTGTATTATCAATATTTTAGCCAGTAAATTGATAAAAAACGAGGTGTGGGAGGTGTGCCACGAGGAGTAGAATAATCGTAAATTTTCAAATTCTTTTTCTATAACTTTAATCTTAGAGAAAAACTGTTAGATAGAAAATCACAGTGTTTCGAATCGAACGATAATTCGATAATTCAACGCAATTTCCGCTTCCGTTCACTTCCTCGACGAACTTCGAACGACAAACTCGCACAGTTCCCTTTGGCATTCCCTAGTTTCGTACAAACTTGTATAAGTAATATGCTCAATTACGGCCTAAATCGTGGAAAGAAAAAGAAAAAAAGAAAAGAAAAAAAAAAAAAAAAAAAAAAAAAAAAAAAAAAAAAAAAAGGCAAGCGAGCGTGAAAAATATTTAAATATTTTCGACGAGTGTGTTTGATCGATGATATCGCCATCTTCATTAGCCGCGAGTGCTAATGAAAATCGGTCGATCGCTTGCAAAGTGTGTAATCAACGCTTTAAATGTGGAGCGGACAAAAAATCTGAAAGCCGGTGTTTAGAGGGTTTCGAAAACACTTGATTGCCAAAGGATGACAATAATCATCCCAAGACCTACCGACGATGTTGAGTCGTTGAGATCTTACATCATCTTGAGACGTACTCTCCTGCGCGTCTAAAATAACGCAACTTCGAACTTTCGAACGATCGAAAGTTTATTCCATTCTTGCATGGCTCTACGATCCTCATCGTCCCTCGATATATACGCCATTTTTCGAAAATTAAATTCTTATTATATCAAACTTCTCCCAGAGTTGAATCGACAAGTGTCGTTTGAAAATCTTAGATAAAAACTATCTTTTAAATCTTATCGTAAGCTATGCGAGGATTTCACACTTCTATTACGTTTTTCGAATGTTACCTCTTTAACTTTTCCTAAGAAGCAACGCTTTTCTAAGATATTTCTGATATAGTGCTAATAATTAAGAGGGGGAAATTGTCACGAGATGACGTCGAGACTTCCGCGCAAAAAACTATAGA